ATTGGCACACACGACGGGATCTGCTTTCTTATGGATTACATAAAGTACACTGAGATTCCAGTGTTCGGCCAGGGCATGTATACATCAGACCAAATTCTGCTTAACAGTTCGTACTTGCGTCACACCAGCTCTACGCTGCCGGCTAGCCGGCTAGCCGGCTGAGCTGAACCGGTATACCGTCGTCTATTGTTTTTAAGCCGCTTTCTTGCTGTTCTCTCCTCGTTTCGGTCGATTGGAGGCGCGTGAGCTTCGTCCCTGTACTAGATTGTTTCGGGTGATTTTTCATCAAACTTGCCTTCTGTGTAGCCAGGGTTTAGACCAGAGGTGGGCAGCTTCGGCAGAGCATTTTTGTAGTGTGCGTGCAATTGATGTCACTGTGTGCGTGCGAACTAGTCGTGTGGTTAAATGAAGCTTTCGCTGCCTTCTAAAGCAGAGCGTGTATGTATACGCGAATATGCCCCGCGGGCAGGCGCCGCCAAGGGCTGGTTTAGGCTGATTGAAGTTTGGGCAAGTCCCGCCAAGTGAAGAAATGAATTGAATTCAGTCAGTTTGAAGTTAACTCGGGTGTGATTCGGTTTCAATTGCAAAAAATAATCAAATGTGTTCTCACTAAAAAATCTACAAGACGAAATTAAGTATGACATCGAATAAACAAAATTTATTTCTGAGCAGACTTTTTTAAAATTTATTTCTTTTACATGTCTATTTTGCGCTGGTTAAAAAAATCTTTGTAATCGGTAACGAAGTGCCTGTTTCAGGTTTTTTGTTAATTCAAATTTTTGAATTTTTCGAATAGGCCAGTTAATGCCATTTGTAAGCCGAAAAAATACTAATGCACAATTTATCTTAAATATTTATATACTTTACCATTTATGTACAAATAAACGAATGGATGAAGTCATGCCCCTAATATATGTATGTATTCATTTATCTATGTACATCTGTTTTTATGTACATACATACTTATACATATTTATGTACAATACCCTTTATGCTCACTATTGATTTGCTTAGGCTAGCTGAATTCTGGGTCGAAAACAATAAAAAGAGGGTTGAGTTACTTTGCATTTGCAAAAATAATATTTTTTGTTTAACTCAAGTAGGTTCATAAGTGATATGTACACTCATATGTACACATATGTCAGCTCAAATATATACATATGTATTTTTATGTACATATATATGTAAGTGAGTACAAATGTTTTGTTACTACAAGTTTTTTTTTTTAGCTGCGCTTGCTTTTACCAGAAAATCGCTACACTAAATACTTTGTGGTTCCTTAACAAGGTACCCATATTTTAAGAATGTATGTCTGATTGTGAATCTAGTTATTCTGTATAAGTAAGAATTTCGTCTTCTAAAGAATCCAGAACTTAATTGCGCTATAGTAACGCTTCAAGCTTTACCAAAAATATATCGTCGTTTAAAGTACAAAACCGCGTATCGCCATTTTGCAAAGCCGCGTAACTGACATTTGCTGCCAAAAATTGGACTTCCTCACGCAAGCTCTCGGCTCAATCCCCATATCCATTCGTCCTGAAATATACTAGCCACAAATGCGATTGCTTTATAAAACAGAGAACCAAAATTAAATATGAGTATTTTTACTCTCTAGAGCTCGGGCTCGGGTTCTTCTTCTTCACAACTTTCCGTACTGCTACCATTCAGTAGGGCGGAGAAGTGTTGCCTCCATAATTTAAGTACGCTCTGAACATCGGTTACTAGGTCGCCATTGTTGTTCTTACGGTAGTATGCCCTGGTCTTGAAATCTTCCGTCGGTCGCCTAACTCTCTGGTAAAATTGTCGGGCATTCTTCCTGACGGCCAGCATTTCAAGCTCTTCGCGCTCACGTATTTCGGCCTCTCTCTTCTTATTGCGGCAAATACGTCTCGCTTCACTCTTCAGATCCCTATAGCAGTCCCACATAGCGCGCGTTGCGCCCGATCGCAGCGTGGCCCTGTAGGCGGCACCCTTTTTTCTCTGCAGCTTCCTGACACTCCTCATCGTACCAGTTGTTCTTTCGGGCTCGCTGAAATCCGACTACTTCTTCGGCGGCGGTACTTAATGAGCGTGAAATGTGGTTCCACTGCTCGCATATGTCGGTTTGTTGAAATGTGCTCTCTGAGAGCTGGTGTGGGAGTCGAGTAGCGAAAGCACTGGCTGTCTGTTGCGATTGCAGCTTTCTGACGTTAAGCCTTCCTTGCATATTTGGGCGCACATTTTTTGCTGCACAGAGGCGGGGTCGTATCTTGGCTGCAACAAGATAGTGGTCCGAGTCGATATTTGGGCCTCGGAGTGTGCGTACGTCTAAAACACTGGAAGCGTACCTTCCGTCTATCACAACATGATCGATTTGGTTTCTCGTTTCTCGATCCGGAGACAGCCACGTAGCTTGATGGATCTTTTTATGCTTGAACCTAGTACTGCATACTACCATGTTGCGGGCCCCGGCGAAGTCGATCAGCCTCAATCCGTTGTCGGACGTCGCATTGAAGTCGCCAAGCACGATTTTGATATCATGACGGGGGCAGCGCTCGTACGTGCGCTCCAAGCGCTCATAGAAGAGATCCTTGGATGCCTCATCCATCTCTTCTGTCAGGGCATGTGCGCAGTTGAGCGAGATGTTGAAGAATCTCGCTTTGATGTGGATTGTGGCTAGACGCTCGTCCACCGGGGTGAATGACAGTACTCGACGACGGAGTCTCTCTCCCACCACAAATCCAACTCCGAATTTGCGCTCCTTTACGTGGCAACTGTAGTAGACGTCGCAAGGCCGCAGACATTGCTTGCCTTGCCCCGTCCAACGTATTTCTAGGATGGCAGTGATTTCAGCTTTTGTCCTTACGAGGACATCAACCAGCCGGGCAGAGGCACCTTCCCCATTAAGGGTCCGGACATTCCAGGTGCATGCCCTCAAATCGTAATCCTTTAAACATTTGCCGTGGTCGTCATCATAAGGGGCGGTCTCATCCGAGGCTTTGCCTTGCTTCTTCACTGGAAGTGGTTTTTACGTGGCGGGTCCCAAACCCAGCCCACAACGGGGGTGGTTTCGCAACCAAATACACGTTTGTATAATGAGCCGCTTGCTCCAAGCAGACACCCGCTTGCAGCCGCACCTACTGGTGAACAGATGCTGCAGATGCTTCAGTGAGCCCTTAAACCGAATAAGTCGGAGTGGCCCCACCGAAGCTCCCTCTCTTTCTGCCGTGACCCAAAGCATCACTCGGATTAGTTACCGCATCTTGCACATGTGTTGCTCACGTTGCCTAGAGTGCGCGAACGAGGATGCAAGAGTCGGGATTGAGTATAGCCATGCAAATGTAACTGCATTCCCAGCGCAACGACTATACCCCATTGCACTCCAAGAACATATGTACACGTATGTATAGGTAAATCTACGTAGTGTTCTGCCGAGGAAAAGTCGGTAGGTTTATGAATCGTGCGAAAAGGTGCTGATGCTTCGTTGCCAGCGATTGCATCGGTCGTGACGTAATGCTATTTATCATACCGGCGATAGCTATTTGTATATCTAGCGAGCTCAAAAAAGATCTGTCATTCTGATGAGAGTGTCGTCGGTCATCTGTTCTACCAATAACATATCCCTCAGAGACGGGACAGTTTCCCCGACCAAAAATATGAGTTTCTTAGACTTAGACTAGCTTTCAGGGGAATATTTTTGAAGAAATATACCAAATGAATTGGTGCGGTATATATACATATCGCTAGCTCAGAGTGAAAAGTTGCTAAGTCCACTTTTTATGAAAACTCATATTTTGATAAAGGACGCTAAAGAAATCAAATACCCATCGTTTCGAAAATTATAAAGGTACTTGTTTTATTTTTTCCTCTTCATAAGCAATAAAAGGAAAATTTGCTAAGTCCAAAAGAAGCACCACAAATCCCATAATACGACATCTATTAATAAATATCGAATCCTTCTGATTCTTATGGAGTTTTGCTTTGCTTTAAACGCACAAAATGTTTGATTCAAAGTCTTGCGAAATAGTTAAAGAAAATGGCTATAGGAAGATTTTTTCCTCTCCTGTAAAATTTTTAAAATGGGACTTAGCAACTTTTCTTTCTAAGCTAGCGATATATATTCGTATACATCAGAAAATGTATGTTCGGAAGTGATTTATAAGCAAAAATTGAAATGTTACCACATACGTGCAGTATCGGTCATATCTATAGCACGCCATTTCAAAGTTATTAAAGTTATTAAAGTATTGGTTGCCACTTATGCGTATTTACTTATTTTAAAAAATGTCCATTAAAATTCAGTTCATTCTCTAACAAAACCTAAGTTTAAAACTTTGTAGAACACTACAAAAAAAAAATGCAACAAACTTTCACCCAAATTTAAAATTTTTTTCTCAGAAGTGTTAGAATTTTTTTGAGTACACAGTTTTATAGCCCACTCAATTTTAGTCATGTTTTTTGGGCAAAAAATTACCGTAATTTTTTAGATTTTTTTTGCCGAAGCTTTTGCGTTTTTCTTTCATATACGAATAAATTGAGTTTATTCGGTACTTATATGTATGGAGGTAAACGCGACAAAAAAAAAATCTAATAAATCAGCTGTAATTTTTAGTCACTTAAATAATGACGAAAAAATGTAACTGGCTCTCCTACTATTGAGTTTATACGGGTTTTGTGAGAGAATGAACTGTATTTTAGTTGGAAGTTTTTTAAAATAAATAATTAAACATAAGTGGCAAACCATATCATATATATTTTAATTAAACAGCTATTCAGTGATATAGTGATTTTAAATCTCACGCTTGTAGAAATTGAACGGTAATTTACCCCAAAAAATCCGTTAGTATACCGACAATTAAACAAGTTGGAAGATATCTCTCCAAGCTGTATTTAAAGTATGTTTTTTTTTAAGATTCTCTTAGCTATATTTTAATTTTTTGCTATTCCTTACTCTTAATCCTCTATGTTTAAATTGACTTACTGATTTTCATATGTATGTATGTATGTCCTTTTTATTTCAGGATTATGCCATGTAACTTGTTCTTATAGTATTTGTAATATGAAGATCAAACGCTATGCAGTGTTCGTGACTCCAAAGCAGCCCATGTCCACATGGACAATTATCTTAGTTTGGTTTTGCCTTTTGCAACCAACTTACCTAAAAACGGATGTCCGCGAACCAACCGAGCAACAGCAACAGCAACAACATCAACGAGCACATCATCATCAGCGCATTAGTAGTAATGAGGCAGCAGCGTCATCAGCGACAACAACATCACTGCATAGCACTGCAAACTATATCACATTGAATAATAAGTACAAATTCCGACATAAATTGTACAATGCCACCATACCCGAGAATAGTGTGGGCAAAACATATGCGATACCATTGGCACATGAAGATATAATGGGCATTGCCATTATACCGGGCGCTGAGGTTAAGTATCGCATCGTAGCAGGAGATCGTGATAAGCTATTTAAAGCTGAAGAACGTATAGTTGATGGCATTGCATTTCTAGCTATACGCACAAGAACTAGCAACGTTGTGCTAAATCGTGAAAAGAATGAAGAGTATTTGTTGAAAGTAAGAGCGATGATCAAATATAATCTGGGTGATGATTATATGGGTGATGAGACGGAAACTACAATACATATACGTGTATTGGATCGTAACGATTTAAGTCCGCTCTTCTATCCGATTGAGTATTCACAAATCGTGCCGGAAGATATGCCAATACACAGGAGTATATTGCGTGTTACTGCGGAGGATGCAGATTTGGGTATAAATGGCGAAATCTACTATAGTTTTTTAATCGATAATGAATACTTTTCGATACACCCGACGACTGGAGTAATTACGTTAAATAGGCAGCTAAGATATACAGAAAGTTCCCATTATAATTTAACAGTGCTTGCGAATGATCGCGGTGCTGCCATTAATCATTATAATCATCAATCGAGTAAGGCGAAAGTATCCATAACAGTAGAACAAGTAAGTAGCGAAGTTAGTATTACAAAATGGATCAATCCATGTCAAATCGACCAAGGTTTGGAATCGACCATTTTCGATTTGGATTTTGTGAATGTTCAAAATTTCGCAATCTACCTGATTTGGCAAGTTTTTTTTTTAATATCTAATAGGTACAAAAATGGTTGTTGTTTAAAAAAATACTTAAGGAAAATTCGAAAAATAAAAATGTTACTTAATTCTGGAATAAAAAAAAAAAAATCGTTAAAGCAAAAACTTACATATGTGTATAAATTTTTGGCAATTTTTTTACAATACCTCTAATGGTATCAAAAGATCCTGAAGTTTTCAAGGGGTTCTTTTAAAGCTGTACATATTCAAACTTTTATTTACTTAAATTAAAATTGTTTGACATACCCTTCTTCAAGAGTTTGCAAAAAAATCAGTTGGTAGTAGTGTATTTTATTTTGTCAAAAATTTTTATAAGTAAGTTTTTACTTTTGGAATTTTTTTACTTTCAAATTCGGTATTTTTTTTTGGTTTTCGCCTTTTTTATTATAAATTTTTTTCTTTATAGCCCTCAATATCACCTTAAAAACAAAACCAGAGCAATTTTCGGGCCTATAATAGTTTTTGAGATATTAAAACACTAAACTTGCAAAGTCCCGGAAATTGTGAAATATAGAATTTTGCATCTTTCGAAAGAAAAGTTTTTCCTTTGGCAGAACTTCGTTGTATGATAAAGGAAAAGTTCTAACCAATTTTCATTAAAATCAAAATGGTTGGTTCCAACAACTAATAAGTCGAATCGAAACGGACTGACCCAAATACATACATATACATATGTAAATATTTTACATGAAAAGAGTCTGTGAAAAGCGAGGCTTGTTTTTAAAGAAACTCGACAGCTTAATTACACAAGTTTACACGAAAAATTAACCTTTGTAAAAGAGAATTTCCTATGCAAACTTTGGGTCGTTGAACACGAAAACAATATCCTTTTCGAGAATTATTATTTTTTTTTGAAAACGTGATTTTTAGTACTTTTCGCAGTTATTCGTCCATATCTCGTGAAAAAATCATCGACCAACGACCTACGGCTCGAGAGGTATTGATGTGCCCTTTACAAAAGATAAAATTTTTACTCAGCGCTCCATAACATCTACATTTCTGATTCGATTTTCATAATCTTAGGCTCAAAATTTACTGAAGTGGTTTATATTTTACATCGAATTTTAAAAGTACATTATATATTTTTGTAAAGGGCACATCAATAACTTTTGATTTTTAGTTCGCCTACGTTGATTTTTTCATGAGATATTGACGAATAGCTGCGAAAAGTACCAAAAACACGTTTTTCGAAAAATTATCGAAAACGCTTTTTTGAAAAGAAAAATGGGTATGGTTTTCGTGTGCAGCCATCCAAAATAGGCTTGGAAAAATATTTTCTTAGGTTCCCAAAAAAATTTTCAGCATTTCCCATACTTATCGTGACTTTGCGGAGTTTTTTTCGGGACTATTCGTGTATCTTAGAAATGTTTCAGTTTTTTTTTTAATTTCTGAAAACTAAAAGCCAAAATTACCTAATATATTTTCTTAAAAACATCTCTGCCTTCTAGTATCGCTAATTTACTATACACTATATCTCTTTTTCCAAATTCCAGGTTAATTTACACACTCCAGAAATATATTTTAAGACTTTTTCCAGTATAACGTCGAATTTTAGTTCTAATATTTATGGTATGGTTAAGGTCAGTGACAATGATACTGGCAAACATGGCGAAATAAATAAGTTACAAATTGTTGATGGTGATCCCGATGGGAATTTCATTATCACACCCACGCCTAATATCGGCGAATATTATATCGAAATAAACAAGTTTGCTAGACTAAATGATTCCATGAAATATAATCTCACACTAAGAGCCGAAGATAAGGGCGTACCCATGCGGCATTGCTATAAAACCATTCCAGTACACTTCATTAAGGAACGAAATAACGCACCAGTATTTACTAAGCATTTATATGAAATCTCAATACCCGAAACATCGCCACCAAATATGCCTGTCATCCGACTGAAAGTGACTGATCCCGATTTGGGTAAGAATGCCATGGTCTATTTAGAGATAGTGGGTGGCAATGAGGGTGGCGAGTTTAGAATAAATCCCGATTCGGGCATGTTATATACACAAAAGCCACTCGATGCCGAAAGCAAATCTTTCTACACACTCACTGTCTCTGCCATTGATCAGGCTAATCTCGGCTTCCGCAAACAATCATCGGCAAAGGTGAAAGTGAATATACAGGATATGAATGATAATGATCCCATATTCGAACCGATGAATACGACCATCGAATTGGATGAGAATGAAATGGCTGGCGCTTTTGTGGTCAAGTTGACAGCGCGTGATAGAGATACTGGCGAGAATGCATACATATCATATAGTATAGCTAATCTGAATGAGGTACCCTTTGAAATAGATCATTTTACGGGGGAACTCAAAACAACTACACTAATCGATTATGAAACCATGCGACGCACGTATGTGCTCAGCATACGCGCATCAGATTGGGGACTGCCGTATCGGCGACAAACCGAATTGGAGCTTCTAATCAAAATTAAAGATATCAATGATAATCGGCCTCAGTTCGAGCGTGTTAATTGCGTTGGCAAGGTTATGCGGAGTATACCAGTTGGCACGGAAATATTTACACTTTCGGCAATAGACTTCGATGCTGGCGACTTTATTACCTATCGCCTGATATCGGGCAATGAAGATGGCTGCTTTAATTTGGATCCCACTACGGGTGTACTTTCGATAGGTTGTGATCTAAGTGATATTGCTGTAGCCACACGCTACATAAATGTCTCATCTACCGACGGCACACATTTCTCAGATGAAATGACTATTGCCATTGATATTGTGAGTGATGAGAAAAGTGTATTTATGGAGCATATAGATATGTTTAACGGCTATGGCAGTTTTGAATGTCGTGAAACGGGTGTCTCCCGACGACTGGCAGAAAATTTGGCAGCAGCGGAGCGAAATAATGCCAATGTACATGAAAAAACTTTCATCAACGATCTGGGTCTGACGCCGAGTCGTTATGGCGAGAACATACACGCGCCGGAGTTTATAGACTTTCCACGCGAGCTGCGCCTGAACGAAAGCATTGAGTTGGGTGAAACTGTGATGTGGATTAAGGCACGAGATCGTGATTTGGGCTACAATGGCAAATTGGTTTATGCCATATCTGATGGTGACAACGATTCGGTATTTCGTATTGATCCCGACAGTGGTGAGCTGCAAATAATCGGTTATCTGGATCGCGAACGCCAAGACGAATATGTCTTAAACATAACAGTTTTCGATCTCGGCCAGCCACAGAAGTCTCAATCGAAACTGCTGCCTGTCTTCTTACTCGATAGCAATGATAATCGTCCAGTTTTCCAAAAATCGCTAGCAACTTTTCATCTTCCAGAGAATGCATTTAATGGTACATTGATATTTTGCTTAAATGCCTCGGATGCTGATATAGAGAATAACGCTAAAATAACCTACATAATGCAGACTGAAACGCGAGATTTTTACGTGAATATCACTACAGGTTGCATTTATTTGACAAACGCGCTGGATCGTGAGAAATTGGATACATATGTGTTGCACATAATAGCCAAGGATAATGGTGAGCCATCGCTCAGCGCCGAAGCAGTGATAAATATACTCGTAGAGGACATCAACGATAATGCGCCAATATTTGGTGTGCAGGAATTCATATTCAAAGTACGTGAAGACATACCGCGCGGCACTGTGGTAGCAGCAATCGAGGCGACTGATGTGGATATCGGACCGAATGGTGAAATATTTTTCTCTATAAAAGAGGATCTCGTCGTTGAGGAACTATTCAAAATCGACAAGCACACGGGAGTTATAAGAACCTTAGGCTATCTGGACTATGAAAAACGGCAGGTGCACAATTTAATTGTGAGCGCCATAGATCGCGGTACACCTTCACTAACCACGGATATGCCAGTTGTGATTGAGATCATCGATGTGAATGAGAATAGGTTTGCGCCGGAATTCGATGATTTCGTGTATACGGGGAAGGTGAAAGAGAATCTGCCGGAGCGTAGTTTCGTAATGAATATAACTGCCAAAGATGCAGACACAAATGGACCGGATTCAAAGATTTCCTATAGCATACGTGGCGGTGATGGGCTGGGAGTATTTGCGGTGAACGATGAAGGTAAGTTGAGTGCTTAAATAAAGTAGAAATCTCCAGCAGTGCTTATTTACAATTACATATAGTAGCGTGACGTATTGCTAGGTTTTGGCAACTTAATTTCCTTTTATTTAATTTTACCCACCAAACAATTTTTGTTGCCGGCAATAAGAAAACGTCTCGCTTTCGGAAACCAATTTATTGCCGGTAATATTGCCATCGTATCGATTTCCTATTACCAGTCGCGCTAAAACGTCCGCCGAAGGCAACTCGCCTGGGCGAGTCGTTTTCTTATCGCTTCAGGCGATATTTTGAAAAATGTTATTCTTTTTAATACTTCAATTATTTTTTGTATACAAAATTGGAACTTAGAAACGGAATTAATACTTTCTTTCGCTAAGGGGCTTCCTATTTTTTCAATTTTGTCCTTGGTAAAAATTAAACGATTTTCCATAATACTGTTGACGCGAAATTTATAAGTTTGGGAATTTTTTATAACTTATTTATTCCAAAATTGACATGAAAGAATTTATGTTGCCGATTTGTCACCACAGCAATAAATCGGAGAGTCGCCAATTTGTTGCCATTGACGATTGTTGCCTATTTCTCATGTTTTGCATGGTGGGTAATTTTCTTTTGTAAAAAAATACATACACTGCCGTAGCCAAGTATTGGCACAGCAAATTTTTCACAATATATGCAACAATTTTTATTCTAATATTTTTCCGGCAATTTTGTACAAAAATATGGTTCATTCAACAACAAAAAACTTAAAATTTTAATTCCTAAACTTTGTGCAAAACTCGCGAAAATCCAGCAAATTTTCATCAAAATTTTAAACTTTTTAATCAGTTTTTTTAGTATTTTTGTAAGTATGCAGTTTTGCAGCTCATTAAATTCTAGTAAAAAATGCAAGTTCGGAGTTAGTCAAAAATCGCGTTGATTTTTGAGAATTTTTTGTTGAAGGTGTTTTGCATTTTTTCCATATAAAGTATTTTCAAAAACAAATTTTTGTATAGAAGAGACTGAGTAACAAAAATTGCCAAAAATCAACTTAAAACTTGCACTTTGTTATAATAAAATTGATGGGGCTACAAATCTACATACTTAAAAAGATTCTAAAAAATCCGATTAAAAAGTTGAACATATTTATGAAAATTTGCTGAATTTTCGCTAGCTTTGCACAAAGTTTAGGAATTATATGTTTATGTTAGAACGAACCATATTTTTGTATGAAATCAGCGGAAAAATATTAGAATGAAAATTGATGCACATATTGTGAAAAATTTGCTGTGCCAATACTTTGTTCCGGCAGTGTTGTTAATATTACAGCAAAAGCAATGCGAATCAAAGTTGCAAAGTTTCCATAAATACAACAAACCTTAAAAAATTTTCAAAAAACTTTAAAACTTTGTTATCATAATTTTTAGAAAGGTTTTGAATATGGAGTTTTATAGCGCTTTAATTTTTAGTACAATAAGTGTAGGTATGAAGTGGCTAAAAATTCGTTTCATTGGTTTTTGAGATTTTTTTTGTTGAAGCTTGCAAAAAGTTATTAAAAATCAAATCTTACCCTCTTGAAACTTGCGCTTTATTGAACTCAAATTTAATGGACTATAAAACTGCTTACCTAATAGTTCTAAAAATTGTGAATAATAAATTTGAAATTTTGGTGAAAAATAGTTGAATTTTTGTTGAAAGTTTAAAACTATTTTCTTGAACACAATGATGATTATTAGATATTGAATCATGCTTGAACACTGCTACATGTGTAATTCGCGTTGGTTATTATTTATTATTGATTTTATTTATTTACTTACTTACATTTTTTAATTGAAGGCTTATTTATTTTCAGGTATAATACGCACCTTGTCTCATTTGGATGCCGAAACAAAATCTAGCTACTGGCTTACGCTTTGCGCTCAAGATCACGCTATTATACCGTTAAGCAGTTGTGTGCAGGTAAATGTAATACATATGAACATATATATATGTAAGTATATATATTAATGAAGATTTGCGGTGCGCGCATGGCCTACTCTTGCGCCTTCCAGGCCTATTGCGTTGGTATTTTGTTACTGGTAAATAAAGTTCCTGGTAATTTTTAAAACCTTTTCGCATTCTGCGCATTGCCCAATTTCGTTACCATCTCATAAGCAGGTAACAAAATATTGCCCCTTGAAGTATGCAACACCAGAATTTATGCAAAACTTCATAGCTGAATTGCTGAATAGATTAAATTGTTACCAAAGTACGCTGAATTGCGGAATGGTGGTGTTATTTTTTGGTAACAAAATATTCTGGTGTCAAAATGTTCGGTAACAAGCAGAATAGGCCTGTTCATCTGAATTTTTGTCCACAACGTCTGAAACGTACACATTTTACCAGTGCATAGGCAAGGGTTACTGGAAAGTGTATCGCAATCAAGATTTCAAGATATACATACATACATTGCTAGATTAGGTCCACGTGTCGTCATGTTTTCTGATACATATTTCCTCAGCCATCGGGTTTTGCAGGCATTTTGAGTGGTTTGTTGTCTTGGTTAGGTGCTCTCAAATAATAATCACTGACCAGATTATATGTATCTTCGCAGCTCTTGCTTGACTTTTATAGTTACTGAAGCTGATCCCATTAACCGTGGTTTTAGTATTATCGATCGTAGTTATGCGAACCAAGTACTCCACTTAATCGCTTGGTCAACATAGTTATCTGATGGCTCTTCTAATGCTCCATCCAGCTTTGGGCCTGCCAATTGACGGAATAAATCAATATAGTGCTGCCCAAATTTATGATTCACTATGTTAAAGTGTTATATTTCTGATACTAAAACTTCACCCCCCTAACGCAATATTTCTTTATTTAAATTTCACATCATCCAGGTCAACATTCAGATGGAGGATGAGAACGACAATGTGCCGCTGACTGATAAACCAGTCTATTACGTGTCGGTTTTGGAAGGTAGTCCAGAGAATACACCGGTTATTCAACTAAATGCTTTCGACAATGACAAAAACCCAGCTCAGTTCTTCACTTATCGCATAACGTCGGGAAATCCGGAAGGTTTCTTTGAATTAAATTCAACTACAGGTAAACTAATTATGCAATTGATAGTGCTGAACTGCAGTTAAAAACATTATTTTACAGGTGATCTAACAACCACGGAAAGAAAATTGGATAGAGAAAACCAAGCAGAGCATATATTAGAGGTACTCAGAGTCAAGCTTATTGCCCAATCTATATATAAAATACCAGCAATAAAAAAACACTGCATCTCTTATCTTTCCATTGTAGATTTCCATTTCTGACAACGACACACCCGCTCTGACTTCTACCACAAGAGTTGTTGTTACAGTGGAAGATATCAACGATCATAGCCCAGAATTCGAGCAGCGTTTTTATAAAATTCAAGTTCCCTCAACTGTAGATATAAATGAAACGATTTTCCAGGTATTTAAATTATAAAGGAGATTAAAAAGGTTGTGTAGACTTTATTTAGCTATTACCATTTCTAGGCTCGCGCAATAGATAATGATATCGGCGAAAATGGACGCATTACTTACTATATCAAATCGGGTAAGGGCAAGAATCGTTTTCGCATGGACCCCGATACAGGTTTCATTTATTTGATGAAACCACTCGAAAATGATGCAGAATATGATTTGAATATACGCGCTGAAGATAATGGAAATCCGAAACGTAGTCAAAATGCCAAATTAAATATAGTCGTCATATCTATATCTACGAATTCACCACACGCACCCACTATAAAGGCAGATGATAGTCGTATAGATGTAACAGAAAGTGATAGGCCAGGTTTTTTGGTGGCGCTTGTGCAGGCGAGTGATGAGGACAACGATCATTTGTGGTATAACTTGACTGGTAAGTGTGCGGGGCAGTAAAACAAGTAGAAGAAGAGAAGAACTCTATTATGTTCAGAGCTCATGAGATTTTTATGTGAAACACAATGTTGGGTGCATAGCTTTGAAGTGATAACTCCCCCTAAATTGGTTTAATACATACATATTTATATATATAAGAATAAATCGCGATCTTTAAATAATTATCGGTTAATTTTAAGTATTTATCGATATTATATATCGATATCGTAAATTATTTGTAGATATTTTTATCCACATAGTTTTTACAGCTATTATCGATTTTTTATCTCAATTTTATTTTACACATAAGGATTGAGTTATATAGTTTATCCTTAAATATTAGAAAAATCAAAGAAATTTGCATCGAATTTTCCGACATCTGAAAATATAACGACATTTAAGTCGATAACGGAAACATATCGATACCAAATCCTATAAACACTCTTTTTCTCTTTTACAACAGGTGGCAACGAACGCAATGAATTCTACATTGGTAAAGATAACGGTCACATTTTACTATCGAAAAGTTTGGATCGTGAGACACAGGATTCGTACAACTTAACCGTTAGCGTTACCGATGGCACACATATCACTAACACCAATTTGTATATACACGTTGTCGACATCAACGATAATCGTCCGCAATTCACACAAGATATATACTATGTAAATATATCCGAGAATATCGAAGAGGAAGCCATTATTATGCAACTGCATGCAACAGATAAAGATGAAGATAATAAAATTTTCTACACACTCCATGCCGCACAAGATCCATCGTCGCTCGCATTATTTCGTGTAGACTCCATCAGTGGCAATGTGCTGGTCACACAACGTTTGGATTATGAAAAGAATAGGCATCACACTTTGATAGTAATCGCTAAGGATCAAGGTACTCCCGCCAAGCGAAATTATGCGAAAATCGTGATAACCGTGCATGATCATAATGATCATCATCCAGAATTTATGAGCAAAATTGTGCAAAGTAAGGTGCCGGAGAGCGCAGCGATCGGTTCAAAGGTGGCCGAGCTAACCGCTTTGGACTTGGATAGTGGTAAAAATGCTGAAGTGAAATATTCCATTATAACTGGTAATATTGGCAATACGTTTGAAATTGATTCAACGATGGGTATTGTTACGTTGGCCAAGAGATTGAATATTAATAAAATGCAAGAATATATGTTGCAAATCAAGGCCATAGATCTCGGCGAACCACCGCTCTCCTCACAAATGCCGCTACACATTATTGTGACTATGTCCGAAAATGATCCGCCCATCTTCATGGCGCCATTGAATGTGATTGAAATCTATGAAAGCATACCCGTTGGCACATTTGTTTGCCAAGTAGAGGCACGTTCTTCATCATCTGTTTTCTATGAGGTAGCGAATGGCGACGATGGCTATAGCTTTCGTATCAATCCCTCGACAGGTGTGATAACGGCGAATGACATCATTGATTATGAGAAGAATAAGTAAGCAAGAAAACGTTGTTTAGCTTAAAGAAAAAACACTAAATACTATTTATAAATCTTTTTTATCTTCACAGATCATTTAATCTAACCATTATCGCAACGAATATGGCATCAGCTACTTCCACGCACAATATAATCATTCACATTTTAGATATTAACGACAATGAACCATATTTCGAAAAAACTACATACAATGGCACCATTTCGGAGGTTGCTAAAGTTGGTTCCTTCGTATTTCGAAAAAATGATCCACAAAAGAGGTAAATTCTTATGCCACTTGTAATCATATTATGTGCATACATATCGTCGTTTAAAGTACAAAACCGCGTATCGTCATTCTGCAAAACCGCGTAACTGACATTTGCTGCCAAAAATTGGATTTGCTCGCACAAGCTCTTGGCTCAATCCTTATCCATTCGTCCTGAAATATACTAGCCAGAAAAAGGATTGCTTTACAAAAGAGAGAACCATTTTGAAATATGACTATTTTTACTCTCTAAAAAAATAATTTATGCAACCTCGCATACGCGGTTTTTCATTATCTTGAAACGCGCATTTTGTTGATACGCGGTTTTGTACTTTTAAGGACGATATGTACGTATGTATGTCTGTAGCTTTATCGAGAATCAACCGGAATGTATGTATGTATGGAAAATATGTATCAACCAATTTGTGGCGTACGTCTCGAAGTTTCGCACAAACGTAGGCACCTAAAGTGCAGTTCTAAAAATTATCGCAAAAATTAAATTCCAAAAATAAAGTTAAGGTTCAGCTAGTCTACACTTAACGTAACGTAACCTAATATATTGGACAAAGCAATATATTTTTGTTAAAGGTTTTTTTTTTATGGAGCTTATGGGCTATGGGGTGACAATGAGTTGAAGAGGAAAATACAAGAACAAAATATTTTTGCTTCTGGCTAAGTTGACGTGTTGAGCAATCATTGGCGATTTCTTACGTATGTTACTTTAAGTCTACACTAACTAGACTATTATTTTTTTTTTTTTTAAGTAATATTTTAACGATTATTCTTGAGTCAAAAATAAAAATATAAATAAAAAATTAACGATTTTGGCAAATATCTAAATATCTAAAAATTAAAAATCTTGGTATTTAATGGTTCTTTTCTGTCCCTGCGGAAGGAATAAATATTTTTTTTAGCTGCAATTTAATAAATACAAAATAAATACCACCATGATAAAAACATAACAAGGTAAAACCATTGAGAGGCAGTCTGACGTTTGCCAACAATATAATTTTAAAATCAAAACTCAAACTCACACACACATTCTCATTTTCAATCTCAAACAACAACAATTGTGAACAATTTAATTTTTTTATTTTCAATTTTATATGATTTTAAAATGTTGGCAAACGTCAGAACAAAATCATGGCCGACGAATTGAGAGAATGAATTTACCTTGTAATGTTTTTATCATGAATACCACCACGGCAACTCGTTTTCTTTCAAATTCATTTCCAAAGCCTTCAACAGAGTCAGCAATAAATAAAAAAATTATTAATCAAAAGTAATAAAAATCAAAAAATGCCACCCATACCAAGCAGAAGAGAGCGGTTTCGACCACGACGCATATTTCGTAAACGTAATGTGGTACGTGAAATGGCTGTGCAAGTAGACGGTCGAGACATAGACATGACCTATGAAAAAATGTGCGAGGATCCCGATACCGCTTTCGATACGTATAACCATTTTGCTTTGCTGCGCAAGAAGGAGAAATACAAAAATCTCTTCATATCCGGACATGTGCCGAAAACTTCCTGCAGCACGCTTTGCAAACCGATTTTATATCATTTTGGGCCATCTACCATACATAAAAATTAGATGCATATATTTTCTGTAGTGTATTTCATTTAGTAGAAAATATGTATATATGTATGTAGATATGTATGTACATACATACGTTGCGATTTTGTATAATTAAAGATGAGTTTACTATTTTTTTCGGAGGGAAGTTCGCTATTGAGCAGAGGAAATGTGAGCTTAGTGTTAGCCAGAGTAAGATTTTTTGCTGTGCATGCTCACATAAAAAGTATGAAAAACTTAAAAATGCACTCGCCCCGTGTGTTGGAAGCAGCCCGCTCTGCTCTAATCGTCTCCAAAAGGTTTATAATTTTTAGACTTGGATATTTTTTTTTAAATTTTGGTGGGAATCCTATCATCGCCAGATAATCTTCACTCGTAAAATATTTATATACCCAGAATCTAATGCGTATTCTTTTTGTTGTATTCTACAGACCACTTCTATTAACAGCAAAGGATTTAGATGAAGGCGTTAACAGTATGATTGAATTTACAATTTTAAATAATCAAGCTAAGGAATATTTCGAAATCGATTCCTCTACGGGAGCTATTAAACTGTTGAAACAAGTGGACTATGAAAAAAATAAATATTTTCGATTTGACGTTATGGTAAGTTTATAACTATTATTTATGTATAATTAATACTTATACGCATAAATATAAATACACTATACACATAAATATATATACCCGCTGCTCTAAACATTTGCGTAAGTTTGCATATACTAGGTTTCCCGAAGCTATTCACTTATCTCTTCCATCAGAGTGGTTATGTAGCCCAACCTATTATTTGCCCTTTCATAAAAACCGATCACTCTTTTTATCATTACTTACTCTTTTTTTTCTCTCTCTTTCTCCCTGCTAGATTAACGATTTGGGCACACCAAAATTATATGCCAAATATCACTCAACTATACATATCGATGTTGAAAATATCAACGATTGCCCGCCGGTTTTCAATAAAAACTACATGAATGTCACCCTGTATCAACCCACATATGAAAATATCATGATAGCTGAAGTGAATGCTACCGATGCCGATTTGGATGAAAATACGAAAATACGTTATGACATTATTGATGGAAATCCAGATGGTTGTTTCGAAATCGATGCTACAACGGGAATCGTAACGACAAGGTACATAAATTCATTGGCACTAATGGTACACATTTCATTTTATATAGAAATTATGATAGTGTTTCCTACATACATATGTTGTAATTTAGATTCGGTTAGCAGTGTTGCCGAATTGACGATTTCGTCATCATTTTGACGTTTTTTTTTTTTAGCTCTATGACGATTTGAAGATTTTTTCCCCCGTAATGACAATTTTTATTTTAGTTTTTCCATTAATTAAATATGTATGTATGTATGCACGTCCATTTTGGTAGTTTTGGTAAATTGCTGGTTGGCACTCGGTAATTGATTCAACTGTGAACGTCTTTTTGATTTTCTTTTGTTAGCATGCTAAACTATGTTTACTAAAAGCGGATTCGTAGTTTTTTTTTTCTAAAAAAAAAACATAAATTGTAACAGAAAATTTACTTTACTCATATGCGTTATGCCTTTCGGCAGCGAGCGGGTTTAAAATTGAATAAATATCGAACAGCTGATTGCAGCTTACCAACTATCAGAAAAATTATCAAGCTTCCTTCACGATAATTCGGTAACAAGTACATCGATAAGAAAATAATTTATACAAACAAAATACATTACTGAACACCGAGTACCAAGCCCGCTGTGAAGACCCCTACTTTAAAACTGGATCAAAATCTTCAAAAGCCAGTAGAGTTCAACTATTTAAAAGCAGTTGTGTTTTAAATTGTAATTTTAAATTGTCGTTAACAATTGCAAATCCACTTTTATTAATCCATATGTATAATGCAATGTTTTTTCTTTTTCCTTCTTAATCACTTTTTCAGTGTATTTTTTGTAATTGAACACAAATTATGTAAACGAGGTTTTCTAGTTTTCGATTTTAGGCACAAAACTAATTTTTATTAAAACTTTAGTTTAAAAAAATTCCAGTGTTTTTTTTTTTTATATAAGCCACTAAAAAAATGTATTATTTTACTACAGTTGATTGAAAGTAAAAAATAATAATTTTCGGTTTAAAAATTTGTAATTTTTTTACATTGCAATTTTAATTTAAAGTCTAAAATTTATACTTTTCCCATAATTTTTTGATTTAAACTAAAAATTTTTCATTTTTTGAAGAAAATCCTAGGAGTAGTTTTCTATTTCCCTTTTTAAACTTTGTTCTTAAATACTTTGCGAGTTTTTTTGTAATAAAATTAAAAATTATAATTTTTTCGAATTAAGATAAAAAAAATTTATTTTAAATTAGAAACAATCCAGTTGTAATTAAAAAGGCATCTAGTGTACTTTTTACATTTAAATTTTTTTAGTGTAATTAAAAAATTTTTAATGTTTTAGTAGTCCACTTTTAGTTGAAAAAAAAAATAAATAAATTTCGATTTTTTAATTATAATTTTTTTTTGTTGAAACTTAATTTTAAACAACACCTTTTCAGAGTAAATTTTTTAGCAAAATAAAAAATTACGTAATAGAGTTTTTTCAATTTTTCGAAATTAGGCAAAAAATTTAATTTTTATTAAAACTCAAATTGAAAAAATTTCAGTGTATGTAATTTTTTTTCTTCACCAACTTTTTTAGGTGTAATTTTTATCTAAAAAATGTAAAATGCGTTATTTTAACACAGCTGATTGAAACAATTATAATTTTATTCTCGGTTTTTTAATTAATTTATTTTTATTGAAACGTAATTTCACCATTTCGTACCTTTCCACTGACAATTTTAGTTTTTAATTAAAATCTATAGTTTACTTTTATTAGTCCAATTTTTGATAGAAACTAAAAAAAGTCTCTCCTGAAGAAAATCTTACGCGCACTTTCTAAAATGCTTTCTTAAAATTTCATGCCATTTATTTTTTGTATTGAAATAAAATCTAGAAACTTTATTTCACGCCAGCTTTTCTCATTCATATTGTATTTTTCAATGTTTACATGTTATCATAGTTTTAAATACATTTTTAGTACTAATTTTTAATAAGTTTATTTTATATTTTTGGTATTTTTTGGAATTCTTTCGATCTCGATTCGATTTTAATAAAGATTAGATTAAAATGTAAAAGTGCGTAGTTTGAAAATTTTAAGCAGTTTTTCAGTATTTTTGGTATTGGCACGAATGAACTAAGTTCGGATTCGAACTGAGCGCCTCCGAACTAACTTGGTTGGATACGCTATTTTGAAGTAGACTTATGTAAATTAGGGTTCATCACTACTGTTTTCCATCGGAATTGAAGAATTTATTTTATTTTAAGACTTTCGTCAAAAAATGTCGAACGAATTTTAGGATTTACGTGAACTGAACCAATTAGAAAAAAGGTTAAAAAATCTCATTATTTTGATTCCGTTGAAATTTTTTTTTACATTTTTATTCAGACCTTTAAGCTTAAACACTCCTATAATCTGAGGTAATTTTTTGGAATACATATTTTTAAAACCTAATTTTATCAAAAAAAAAAAATTGGTTTTGGGAGTATTTTCAAATATGTCCAGCTCACGTTAGTTTTAATATTTTTCCGAAATATTTGACGTAATTCTTTAAATATAATAAGTTTTATAATTGCGCTGGAAAACCGCAACTTTTTTGTTAAGACCATCGAATGTACATACATATGTTATAATATATTACATTTAATGTTCACAGGGTAACTATAGTTTTTTTCCTTAATTTTTTAGGGACATAACGCGTTTGGACACATTTTATACCCTACACATTCGCGCTTCTGATGGCCTATATTCGGCTATTGCACAAATTGATATAAACATTGAAACCCTAACCACACCTGGCTTTGTTTTCCAAAAACCATTCTACACATTTTCAACAATCGAAAATTCTTCCAAAATTGTCACGGTAGGGCTGGTTAATGTTGTGGGTAATCTACTGCATGAAAATATCGAATTCACCATTCTGAGTCCCACAAAAATGTTTGTCATCGGCAAGACATCGGGTGCTATAAAAACGACCGGTTTACCTTTTGATCGCGAAAGTCAAGACAGTTACACAATAGTGGTCGAAGCACGCTCTTTACTGTTATACGAAAAATACAAACAGATGCGGCGTGCTATTGTGCGTGTTGAAATATCCATACTCGATGTGAATGACAATTGTCCAATCTTCGTGAATTTACCTTA